CACCAAGTTTGGTGTCTCTAGGCCTTATGGTCTGTTCTCCACAACACGTTTTTCAGGAGAAAAAGAATAATAATAAATATAGCCGCAAGCGGCAATGAGCGGGTCCAAGCACGCATAAGCCCAAGAAACTCTCATGCACTTTAAGCCTAATAGGCCTAATAAGGCCTAACGCACTTTGGGCCTTCAAGGCAGAGAGGCCGAAAAGAAATCAGAGTTTATCAACAGGCCTTCATTTGTCAAGAACAATGAGCACGGGCTTTAAAACCTAATAGATGTTTATATTTCAATTTACTGATCTAAAAAGGTTTGTAGAAATACATGAGTAATGGTAACATTTCTGACTTTGTTGTGTTTGCAAAGTATTTAGTTTCTCCATGTTAAAGGCTTTGACAAGCAGGACATAAACAGAACCAATGGACCCATAAGGGCCTTTTAAGCATAAAGGACCTCAGTGAAAGTGGGTCAAATCGGTCCACAGGTCTTCAAATGTTATGAATATTGATCAGGGACCTTTGTCAAAGATTTTCATTGAGCTTTGTTCAGATTGACCTTTTGACCTTGGTATTACAAGCTGTAGTCTTTACATGAATAATTCAAAATACCAGAAAAGGAGCACAATTTATGATATAACATGTAATTACAAAGTCATTCAGATCAGTGAACTGAATCAAATGACACCTCTTATTTATCTGTAGACTTTGTAGTATTGTTGTAACAACATTTTTAAGGATTTTAGGTGTTTTTGAGTGCTAAAGCGCCCCCTATTGGCCAATCAGGATCAAATTTTGCAAGCCACATCAGAGTCTCAATTTATAAACATATTTACAATTTTGAGATGATCGGACCAAGGACTGATGAGTTATAGCAATTTAAGCTAGCAACGCTATGGCTGCAATGATTTAGTGATGGAGGGAAGCCACAATTAGCAAAAAATGGAAAATGTGCTGGATAATTATTTACCTAGAGAGGCTACAGAGTATTTCTAGACCAGATTTGAGAAGGTAGCTTCAAATTCCACGGACTAGTTCGAAAAGTGCTAATTTCAAACATTTGACGATTGAAAAAAAACTAAGCACTTTCTTAATAGACTTCAAATGACAAAAGTGTTTGGAACACTGCACTGCATGAGGTCATCTAAGTTATTTGACCAAAAATAACAATCTGTACAAGATATACTTGATTTTCTGTTATAACACCCCCCCAGTGGCCAAATGTTTTGAAACTTCGCAGGTTGTTAGAAGGTGGTGAGATAGAGATAGTTGTCAAGTATCATGAGGATTGGCTAAGGCTAAGCCTGTCAAATGGCTGCTGAAAGCTTATTGGCCGATGGCGGCCATAAATTTCAATATATCAAAGTGTCCTTAAAGAATCACTTAAAGTCTTACTAGTAGATGGTACTTGCAAAGTTTCAACTTGATCGGATGTACAGATGCTGAGAAACAGCTATTAAGGCACATTAAGCATTTACAGCGCCCCCTAATGACCAATGTGCACAAAAATGGATAGGCTACCTCAGAGTCTCATTAGGAATAAGCCTGTCAAGTTTCAAATTTTTTGGGTGAAGGATTCTTGAGTTACAGATTTTTCAATTAAATAAGAATTATTTTGATTTTTCCAGAAGGATTAATTTGCATATGGCAGCCATTTTGAGTAAAGAATTAAAAATGTGCTGGATAATTATTGAGGTTCAGGCTCTTCTGAATTTTTTGACACCAAAAACATGAGGATTGGATGAAAACTGTAGGACTAGTTCGCAAAAGTAGGTTTCGCATATTATGCAAATTAGCTCAAAATCTAAGTGGGCGGAGCTTAATGGTCCAAATTACAAAGTGGTTTTGTTGGACCCAAGGAATCAGGAAAAAAATATGTCATGTCTGGCAAAAATCTGGGGAAGGAATTATAGAGCCAAACGCGTTGTGTTGCGCAATAGCGCCACCTTTAGGCCGGTTGGGCTCGTTTCGCGAACCTGAGTAGCGGGAGGGACTACTACCTATTGACCAAGTTTCATGTCTCTAGGACTTACGGTTTGGTCTGGGCGATTCGTTTTATCGGAGAAAAAGAATAATAATAATAATAATAAATATAGCCGCAAGCGGCAATGAGCGGGTTCAAGCACGCAACAGCAGTACGGGCTCTTCTGCAGGTTTAGCCCATTAAGCTTAAAAAGGCCTCAAGCTTCTGGTTTAGGCCATTAGGCCTAAAAAGGCCTCAAGCTTTTGGTTTCGCCCATTAGGCCTAAAAAGGCCTCAAGCCTTTTATTATATTAGGCCTAGAAAGGCCTCAAGCCTTTGTATAGTAAGTCTTTGTATAGTGAAATCTTTGAATGAATAATCCAAAATAAAAGACAAGCAGTGCAATTTTTGACATAACATGTAATTAGAAAGTTGTTCATCTTAGTGGACTGAGTCACATGGCACCATTTGTTTATATGTGGGCCTTGTAATAACATTGTAATAGCATTTTTATTGATTTTTCAGTGTTTTTGAGTGCTGAAGCACCCCCAAAGGCCAATCTGGACCAAACTTGGCATACTCCATTAGAATCTCAATTTGTATAAATACTCAAAGTTTGAACATGATCTGACCAATGACTGGTGAGTTATAGCTAATCGAGCTAACAATGCCACATATGCAGGAATTTGGTGATGAATCCACATGACCCTTAGTAGAAAAGTCAAAATGTTTTTGATAATTATTTACCTAAAGATGCCACAGAATTGTTCTAGACAAACTTTGACAAGATTGGATCAAAATCCAGAGACTAGTTCGAAAAGTAGGGTTTTAAAACATTTATCGATTACGGAAAAACTATGCAGATTTTTAATAAACATGTATTGGCAAAATTGTTTGTCCCAATGTACTACAATAGGCTCTAGGCGAAAATTGTAATAATATTGTAATAACATGTAATAATATGTAAATTTTTGAAATAGCGCCCCCCAGTGGTCAAATCTTTTGAAACTCGACTGGTTGTTAGAAAGTGGCTACATATAGACACCAGTCAAGTTTCGTCATGATTGGTCAATGTTAAGCCTGTCAAATGGCCTGCTGAATGCTTATTGGCCGATGGCGACCACAAATTTCAATGTATCCAAATGTCCTTATAGTCGCACTTGTAGACTGGCCCGAGAGGATGCAGCATGCAAAGTTTGAGCTGATCGGATGTACGGCTGCAGAGAAAATGCCCTGTTTTTGTTGCTCCGCCCCCTAATTACTTATGCGCACAAAAATCGAATGGCTACCTCAGAATGGGCTACTGACATGGCCTGTGAAGTTTGAAATTTTTTGACTGAAGGATTCTTGAGTTAGAGATTTTTAAATTAATTCTGAATTATTTTGAATTTATCCAGAAGGGTTCATTTGCATATGGCAGCCATGCTGTATGGAAAACTATGGAATTTTTTTACACCAAATGGATGAGGATCGGGCCAAAATTGGAGGACTAGTTCGCAAAAGTAGGTTTCGCACATTTTGCAGTATTGCGAAAAATCTAAGTGGGCGGAGCTAAATAATCAAAATAGCCAAAAGGTTTATTTGGACCCATAGAACCAGGAAAAAAATATGGCTTGTCTGGCAAAAATCTGGTTTAGGAGATATAGACCCAAACGCGTTGGCCTTCGCTGTAGCGCCCCCTTGTGGTCGACTGGGCTGATTTCTTGCGCCTGAGTAGCGGGAGGGACTACTACCTATTGACCAAGTTTGGTGTCTCTAGGACTTACGGTTTGGGCTGTGCGTTCCGTTTCAGGGCGGAAAAATAATAATAATAATAAATATAGCCGCAAGCGGCAATGAGCGGGTTCAAGCACGCAACAGCAGTACGGGCCCTTCTGCAGGTTTAGCCCATTAGGCCTAAAAAGGCCTCAAGCATCTGGTTTAGGCCATTAGGCCTAAAAAGGCCTCAAGCCTTCTCTTATATTAGGCCTAGAAAGGCCTCAAGCTTTTGTATAGTAAGCCAAAATAAAAGACAAGCAGTGCAATTTTTGACATAACATGCAATTAGACAGTTGTTCCTCTTAGTGGACTGAGTCACATGACACCAATTGTTTATATGTGGACCTTGTAATAACATTGTAATATCATTTTTATTGATTTTTCAGTGTTTTTGAGTGCTGAAGCACCCCCAAAGGCCAATCTGGACCAAACTTGGCATACTCCATTATATATATTTATATTTTTTTTTAGGAAAAAAATATGGCTTGTCTGCCAAAAATCTAGTTTAGGAGATATAGACCCTAACGCGTTGGCCTTCGCTGTAGCGCCCCCTTGTGGCCGACAGGGCTGGTTTCTTGCGCCTGAGTAGCGGGAGGGACTACTACCTATTGACCAAGTTTGGTGTCTCTAGGACTTACGGTTTGGGCTGTGCGTTCCGTTTCAGGGCAGAAAAATAATAATAATAAGAAGAAGAAAAATTCTCACAATTCCAATAGGGTTCAATGCATTGCATGCTTGAACCCTAATAATAATAAGAAAAATCCGCACAATTCCAATAGGGTTCTACGCACTTCGTGCTTGAACCCTAATAAGAAAAATCTTGACAATTTCAATAGGGTTCAATGCATTGCATGCTTGAACCCTAATAATAAGAAAAACTCTAACAAAAACAATAGGGTCCTACGCACTGCGTGCTTGGACCCTAATAATAATAAGAAAAACTCTAACAAAAACAATAGGGTCCTACGCACTTGCGTGCTTGGACCCTAATAATAATAAGAAAAACTCTAACAAAAACAATAGGGTCCTACGCACTGCGTGCTTGGACCCTAATAAGAAAAATCTTGACAATTCCAATAGGGTTCAATGCATTGCATGCTTGAACCCTAATAAGAAAAATCTTGACAATTCCAATAGGGTTCAAAGCATTGCATGCTTGAACCCTAATAATAATAAGAAAAATCTTGACAATTTCAATAGGGTTCTACGCACTGCGTGCTTAAACCCTAATAAATCCTGATGATACATTTGGCCTCCACCCTGTCTTTCTATCTGTTTTTTTTCCCATAGTTCTCTCCTGTCCCATTTAAGTGATAGGAGAATGTCATATTTGTCATGCTCTGAGGAGGATAACCGAATCAGCAAAAAGAACAGGAAAGAATGGAGCGTAAGCAAGTCTCAGGTCCTCTTGGAAAGGCTGGCTGACACAGATGAGGTATTTGCTGCTTACCTAACACAGAATTTATTTCATAAAGTATTTATAAAATATGCCTTAATAGTTTTGTTATGAATAATTTTTGCATATTCTATTTTATATCAGTTATTATTAAATATATGCATTGTTAAATATTATAAATTCTATTATATATTATTTGCAAATACAGTAGTGCAATTGTTGAGTTGCTTGGAGTAATAATGCCAATCAATGTTTAATTAAGAATATAAAAACTGTTACAAGCAATATTATTTATGTTCCATTGTGTATTATTTGCAAGAACTCCAGTGCAATCACTGAGCTGCTTGGATAATAACAGTTTCTAAATCTAAACCCAATGCTAGATTTCTTGATAGCAGCTCTGGCATAAATGCATGAGTGATGAGTGTGAGAGATGACATCCAGCACATGACAAATGGCTGCTCTTTTTTTGTTATTATTTGAAGGTAGTTTCTGTAGAGGGTAATTTCTCAAGAAATAAATGTTCAAAAATGATCAGATCTACATATTCTCACTTCTGAGAATTTCTTCTTAAGAACTGTTGGTGAATGAGGCCCGTTATTTATTCAATACTATTTAGTATATTTGGTGTGAGGTGTCATTGGATCGTAAACATGTTTGATAATTTAAAGGAGACTTGATTAAAGCTAAATGTCTTGCATCATGGCTGTATGTATTTGTGTATGTAAAAGAAGTGAGAAGGGGTATGCAGCAGGTGGTCAAATGACTAAAGGGGTACAGGACTATAAAAAGTTGAACCACTGCTGTAATGTATGTCTTTGTGTGTGTGTCTGTGTGTGTATGTGTCTGTCTGTGTGTGTCTGTGTCTGTATGTCTGTGTGTGTGTGTGTGTGTGTGTGTGTGTGTGTGTATGTACAGACCCCTCCAGAAAAGCAACAGAGGCCTAAAAGTCTCACCATTGGGGATCGGAGGCTTGCACTATCGCTGTTTCATGGAGATTCAAGCAGTCTCAGCTTAAAGAACCCTCTTAGCCCTCTGCCAGCCTCTCCACACACACCTCGAAGCTCTAGTGAGTGGAACCACCCTTTCCTACACACATTATTCATGGTATGTTATATATAAAAGCTTCGGCACTTGCATAATGTTTTCTTTAGGTTATTCATCTCTCCTAAGTGACACTAGCGTCAACACTGCTGAGACCCCAAATACACCTCCACCCATGCCCCCTAAGAAGCACCTGAACGAGAGTGACTACACTACCAATTCATTTGAGGTAGGAGGACACTTTAACCTCTGTTTGGCCTCCTCCCTCACACACTGTTCTTTCATATTTATTTCTAGGGCTATCAATATGTTAACATGAAAACGTATTATTGGCGCTACTGTTTTGTGTTGTTTTTTTAATGCTGTTATACACACACATATATATATATATATATATATATATATATATATATATATATATATATATGTATATGTGTATATGTGTGTGTGTGTGTGTGTATGTATGTATAGTGATTAACTACACGAAATAATGTGATGTCATGATTCATTATTCATCATTTGACCTGTTTGTTTCATATTAACACTGAAAACAGAATAAATTTTAAATTGTTACCCTGACATTCTTTTTTTTTTCTTTTTTACCTCTTTAATCTGTAGTTTACACCTGTGTTGCCAATGAAAGTGGACAGCAAGCCGCCCCCTCCCCCTCCCAAAACTCGCAAGTCCATGTTCCCTGCTCAAGAATACCATCCACAATGAAAAGACTTCCTTCAAGAGTGCGCATGCTTGCATGTGTGTGTATACAAGAATGGGACTCTAGCCTACTGTTAATGGTTTTGAATGATATTTACACTCCTGCTTACAAATGCTATGTGGGTATTTTATCTTAACTAAATTTTTCTCAGTTGAGTCACAATGATGATTAATGGTGGCTTTGAGTTAAGAATTCTTTTTCCTGGTTGTTATTCCAGTTGTCCTGTGTCCTGTGTCAGTGTACTGATCAGTTTAGCTGATTCCACATGTGGATGTGAGGCACAGTATCAGACCAATAGTCCCGTTCTATAACAGTTTAAACAGGGGAAAAAAGTAAAAGTAAAACAGTTATGGGACATTTTGTCTTATATTTTTATTCCATCATCAGCAAATAAATAAAAGTGATGCACTGATAGTACTGCCAAAGAAAGGGCATGAATGTCAGAAGTAATTACCAAGGGCTCCACGAATTTTGAATTACTTGTGAATAGACTTTTAGATTTAGCCTCAGTTTGTGACATTCTACAAAAAAAAAAATACCTCATGAAAAATTTTTCAAATTAGTCATTCAATAATGTAGAATTATTTCAACTCTACAGGAAAAAACATGAAAACGTGAAAAGCATGAAAACGGGACCATTTTTGAAGCGACTTATATCTTAATTAAAAGCATTATTTCAAAAACAACCCTTTTTGGAATTGTGAAGCAGTTTAGGACATCTAAGAAATGAGTAGGTATGAATAGTTAGGTAACCAAGCCGCTAAAGCAGTGGTGCCCAATCTTATCCGCAGAGGGCCGATGTGGCTGCAGGCTTTCACTCTACCAAAGCAGGAGGTCACCTGATGAAATGTTTGAAGACTAAGACTGATTAAACAAGTAGAATCAGGTGTGCTTTAGCTTTTTTGGAGTGAAAACCTGCAGGCACACTGGCCCTTTGCAGATAAGATTGGATACCCCTGCGCTAAAGAGTCTTTTACTGTTGACACTGCTGTGTGTGCACAATTGAGCAAATGTAGACTAGAATTAGAATAGAATAAGTGTCTGGATACTTTTAGGCATATATTATACCATTTAAGTGTTCTTACTGACAGCTCCAGTTTTTAATCTTTGGGGTACTGATGTGTTGAAAATATTGATCATTCAAGGTTCAAGTATATCACGCAAAAATTTGAGGGCGGTAGCCTTTTAGAAGCAGTGTAATAAAGGAGAGTGTAATACAATGTCATGAGGGGAAAGTGTTTATGGTTTAAATGCTGTGAGCACATATTCTACCCATTTAAATCATGATTTAGTCAACAGTTGTACAGTTCACTCTGAATCTGAAGCGTAAAATGTAGTATACAGTGATATTTGGGCATTAAACACTAAAACATTCTGACCCTTCTTACCACAGTCTGTTTATCCTATTATTGAGCAATGCACTGGATAGAATTATACATATAGGATAAAGAATAATACATAATACATATTCATGTCAGCTCTGTGCTCCCTCTTACGGATCTGCTTCTATAATTATGTTATACAAAACATTCAAAAGGTTGGTACATTTTGCTTTTTGTTAAGTTCCTGGACTTGTACTTTTGAGCAGTAGTGGCATACTAAAACAACAAAATTTAATTATGTGTAGACTACATTATCTTGAAATGCAAAGAAAGGCTTTTAAACAATTGTGTAAATAGTTTTTCATTGAGAGATAATTTAAACTGGTTGTAAATTATGTGGTCTGATTAAGTTGTGATATTACTTTTCTTAAAAATGAAACTGTACTACAAACCAAACAAAATTAAAGATCTTGATTTATTACTTGATTTGTGTGAATGTCTGCATAATGGTGGATATGTTGTTTCTAATGTGCATATGCAGGGAGCGTCTGATATACTCTTTATAAACTGATTTATAGCAATAATAGTTATTTTTAAAGGTCGTTGTGATGAGCTCTGACTTCATTGCTCTGTTGGAGATTTGAAGTGCATACTAAGTGCAAGTTGAAGTCTGGAGATCTTCAACCTAGAGGTAGGTAATATGGCAAAAACATAATGGTATAGATTGACAACCACTGCATCTTTTTAATGTAGATACATGTAAATACGATTTCTACCTAGAAGTACATAAAATCAATAGAGTCAACCAGTTTTTAATTTTAGTTTAGTAAGGCAAAGAATTTTCCCCTAAAATGCAGGGAAACAGACAAGCATAACGGAAAATGTACATGTAGCCTATTACAGTATAGTTTGAGTTGAATAAATGTAGACTATTTAAAAAAAATACCCTTTTGTACAGTCTACATGGACAGTATGAAAATCAACTGAACAGACTGAATATACAAACAGTGTACATACACATACCTGAAGTAGTCAGGAGACATTTTATTAGCTACTACAGGATTTATAGATGATTTCTTATCAGTCTGAAACCTTGGTAATATTCTTTTCTCCTGAAAGCAATCTAAACCAATTTTAAGATGTTATAGCTTTGAATAAATTACATAATGCTAAATGGATTGTGGTCTGAATTAAAGAATATATAAAATAGCCTGGGTCTGCAGTTGGTAGAGAAGTACACTCAAAAAACTAATGGTTCAGACAGGGTATGGCTTTCTTATTAAGAATATCTTTAGGAATTAGGAACAATTCTGTTTTGGTCACAGCTAAATGTTATATGATGAATTAAGTTGCATCAGGAAATACATACTGTATACTGTTTTTGATCTTGCCAAAGAATTTAGATTTGACTTGTATCTTATACATTATTATACATTCAATGTCACGCTACAGCCTCATACACTAATAATAGGTCATTTGACAGCAAATATATATTGAACAAAACTTAGTGCTTGGGAACACTCTGCTTTGTGTTCTTACTCTCTGGTATTTTCATACAGTTTAAACAAAAGTACTCATCTAAGAAGGAGTTATACCACTGAAGAAATTCTTTCCAGAAGCTCTTCTTTCCATAGATAAGCACAAATCCGCTGGCTGTGGTATAAAGTGTGGAGAAAAGAGTTGTCAAACCAATAGTGTTCTCACTTTGTAACACTAATTTGGATTGGGTGTAAAGGTCTACGAGCAAAAAGCAAAGGAACACCACCACTAGGGTGAGGTTCATCCTGATGACCCGCATCTGAGTGCCCAGCTTTGGAGCGTGAGCACCGTTAGTACTTTCCTTCATGTGACGAAGATGGATGGCCAGATGGTATGAAATGGAGACACTGCATTTGATCATCAGTATACCTGGAACAATATCTGCAATGACCACAAGATAGATAATGTAGCTTAGACCGAAGACCCCCTCTGGTGTGATTGAGCCACAGTTGATGCTTCCTGTGCTGCTGTTCTGGTATGTTAGGACCTTCAGTAGTGGTAAACAGTTGGTGAAACCACAAAGGAAAATAACAATCACTACAGTGAGAACATGCTTGAGGATAGCCTCCTGGATGCGTGTGTAGCAGTGGATGGGCTCAATCACGAGTTTGGTGCTGTAGAAGAAAGTTAGGAAGGCAGTGGTCCACATAATTGAGAACTTCAGAGAAACAACTAACACTAGCAGAATGGATTCCACCATGTCATATACACAGTTTATATCTATCTCAACCATGGTCATCCAGAAGTAGGAGAGGACTTGATGGCCAATGCTAGCCAGAGATATTCCAGTCATTATGGTGTCGCCTGGACAAATATGTAAATGGTTCTTTCTGCAGTTCCGCTGATTCACCAGTAAGATATAGACATTGAAAAAGACAGTAAGGATGGCTAGGAAGCCAGTCATAAGCCAGATCCCTATCCTGTGCCCAGGACTCAGCATGATTGATGACTGTGCTGTATGTATCTGTTACATAAATAATATGCTTTTTATTAGACATTTTCTTGAGTATTTTTATTGAGTATATCTATCTCTACAAGAAATAAGATGAAAAAGGTTTACATTACCTTGGTTTGGTGTATTCAATTTTTGATACTTCCAGCTCCTCTTTAATATCTGAGAAGAAAATAAGCAATGGAAAATGTTCTACTTGGTTCTACACAAAGGAACATGCGGCATTCCAAGATTTCCAGTGATATTCTGCAAATCTGCTTGTAAAGGCTGTAGGCATAGATATTTAATTAGTATCAGAACCGGTCCTTAAATTTATACCAAGGCTGTGTAGCACTGGAAGCAAATTTTCATATACTGTGGTCATGTGGCATATTTACATGATCCACCAACTTAACCACCCTCAGATGTTGTGGTAGAGAAAGTTCATGCCTTTTGTAGGGGCTTTTTTACAACAGATCTAAAGCATTTACAGGTGATACAGAGAGAGAATTGGGGTTTTGTATTGGTCAAAAAAATATATATATACCCTCATATAAATATATTAACACATTGCCATAATTTTGAACACTTATAGTTAAGCAGATTGCAGTATTGTTCAACCTATGGATTGTGATGATGGAATTAGGGTTTTGTAAATAGGGCACAGGTTGGTAACCGGTTACACCTAAAGTTTGTAAGATTTGTAAAACATTAGTCCTAGTATTTCTAATAGGTTAGACCTAGTGTTCACAATAAGATAGACCTAGGTTTAGAAACAGTTTAGATACTGGGTTTTTACTAGTTAGAACAAGGGTTTGCAGGCTTTGTAATAGGTCAGTAATAGGTAAGTTCGTAATTAATAGGTTTGTAATAGGTTTTAAGTGTTTAAGGGTTTGTGATAGGTTAGACTGAGGGTTTGGAGGGTGTGTAAGACTTCAGATTGATTGTTTAGACTTGGGGCTTGTAATAGGAGACATCTTGATTGTAGAGTTTGTGATAGGTTAGACCAGGGGTGTCCAATCTTATCTGCAAAGGGCAGGTGTGGCTGCAGGTTTTAATGCCAATTGAGCTGGATTCCACTTGTTTAATCAGTTGGTCTTCATCTTCAGCAATTGATCGCATGTGCTCATGCCTGTTGGAATGAAAACCTGCAACCACATTGGACCTTTGAGGATAAGTTTGGACACCCCTGGGACCTGCGATTCTTAGATGCATCGCGATGCGAACGTGAACGATTCTGAATCGATTCACAAATGTCAAAAATCAATTTTCTAAATATTTAATTTTGATATTTAATGTTGACGGAATGCAAAAGGCGGAACTTGGAAGTGCGGAAGTGCAGCGCCCGGACAGTCTGTGGCGGCACATAACAAAAACACACACGGATGAGCGAGAAATCCGACCAGCACCCTCTGCATTAAAGCCAGGTCAGGTCAGGAGTCACAACACAAATGTTAAGAAGAGACATGTTGTCCTTTCAACAAAAATAACATTTAATGTTAAATGCTGTAACATTTAATGACCAGTATGTCTCAGTATGTGATAATGTCCTAGTATAGGCTAAACAATATAAACGAAAATGCAGATTTATTTTGCTCTGCTTTAAGCTTTGGCTCAGCTATAGCCGCTTTCCTCCCATCTCCACCAGGACACTTTTCCTCAAAACTAGAGCAGTTTCTTGTGAAATGTCTCTCTACGTTCGACTGTTTTATGAGGCTGAAGTCGCTTCTCATTCTCGTTCGAATTTACCCGTTCCACCTTACATTCTAACTGAGGCGCCGAATGTAAATGTGGCACCATTTAAGGTGGAACGGGAGAATTCGAAAGAGAAGTTAACTTAAGCTTTGCCACTTTTTAGTGTGTGACAGTCTTTCGTTGCAGATTTAATGTACCAGGAAACCAACTGCGCTGCTTATAAATGCGAATAATGCATCATTGCTAGGTGACCTGATCTCTACAACGAGACCAAAACCAAAGTTATAAAATCACTAAAGAAAACGGGTAGAATAGCCTTAACATGTGCTGCGTGGACATCCACTGCCACCGTAACTGTGCATTTTATCGCAAATGAGTAGCAGCAGCTTCTCGTGCTCTAAACAAGAGCACTGAATGAGAGCCTTCTAGTGCACTTGCCACATCACTTCCATTTGTTTTATAAAAAAAGATATTGGAAGTAAATTCATTATGGATCATTACAAATACTTTGCTTTAAATGTTCCAAGTCACTTTAAATAACAATAACGCCGAGTCACTTTAAAATGTATATCATCTCTATATTCTGTGTATATTTTGTGTGTATTTAATATATTTCAGTTGGTTTTTCTTGTATTTTTATTTTTTACTCATTTACTTTCTGTAGAGTGATCACCCGTGCCTCACCACAAGCATTTCAATACATAAATGTCCTGACATGTTGTACAAATAAACTTGAAACTTGAACTCAAAACTTGTGCTCACATAGTGAGAAAATATAAATGCTATATAGAAAATATAAATGCTAAAAAAAGATGCATCGAGATGCATCGATAAGTTTTATAATCGCATCGCAGCCCTCTGAATCATAATTGAATCAAATCGTGAGATGCCTAGAGATTCCCACCCCTAAGACCTATGGTTTGTAATTGGTTTTCCTGAGAGTTTACTAACAGAGTTTGAGTTTGTAACTCTAAACCCTAACGTTTTGTAAAACGCCAACATACTACAGGCACTAAGCCTACTCTATCTAAGCTTTTTAAAACCTTTGCATCTAATCTATCACAAGCCCTACAAACCCTAGGTCTAAACTAAGACAAAAACCATTACAATCCTACAAACCTTAGTTCTAACCTATTTCAAACTCTACAAACCCAAGGTCAACCATATTGCAAACAATATGTCTAAATTATTGCTCCACATAACTCCATAAAACCTATGTATGTAAACCTATAAGAAATCCTAGGGCTAACCTATTAGAAACCTTAATTGCAACCTACTAAAAACCTGCAAACCAAGTATACTCTATGACAAAACCATAAGT